CGCCGCAGGCTGGAAACGCTCCACAACTCAACGTTTTCCTGCTGGCGATCTCCCACCTTGAGACTTTTCACACAGCAGGATGCAGCTCTGAACACCACCCTTGCACTCCCTGCACCACAGTGACTCCGAGGGTACAAAAATCGTGAGAAAGTCAAATATCTGACTCATTTCTCATCTGAATGCAGCCAGACACCTCAAGAGAGAACCTGAAGTCACCCCTACCGGGATGCAACCAGCATCGTGCCTTCCCCACCATCACCTCCAATTGCCCCACACAGCAAAAAAACAGTCACTACTTCCCAAAGGAAAAGCGGACCAAAGGAAAACTTGTCAGCTGATGAAATTAAACTACACTGATAATTCAAACAAGGAACAATACCAAATGTAAACGCAGAAGAGTAACAAACTAAGCCAGCATCCCAATTCAGCCCTTGCTACTAGTATTACGGAAAACCTTAGGGCACACTGAAGAATGATCACGCACGCACACATTTTGCATGTGCCAAAGTTTATTTTTTTTCCAAAACTTGTTTCCTCAAATCATTGGATATGAGCAGTTTTTAAAAAACAAACAGTTCGTGTATTAACAAATTGCGAAGTTCCACAATTAAAATATCAACACAGCCAGTCTTGTGCTTAGGCTTCTTTTTAAAAAATTATTAATTCATAGAACATAAACCCTCAAAATTTTTTTCCAGTTTGTGGCTAGTATATTTTCCACACATTCTGTATTCTTATAAAATGAAGGAACTCATGTAAAGGAACAGCTGTACAAGAATACATCTGAAAAAAAGCCTGAACAACCTAAATTATAGTAGCTCCTTTGAAATAAATATCCAATAAAAGGCACAAACCTGTTATGGGGAAAAACATAACATACAAAACAAGACCTATCAAATAAATAACGTAAGGTGTGGGTTGGGGTGAGGGAAATCTGTTCCAGCACCTATTTTGTCATTGCTCCAAGATGAAATTCCAGCCAAACATTTGGTAAAGGATTCAACTTAATCACAAGGATACACATTTGAGATATACTGAAAGATTTGATGTTACAATTCCTGTTGTAACTGTACCAGTTACTACAATCTCTTAAATAAATGATTGTGAGAATCTGCGTAGTGATGCAGTGATGTATGTATCAATGACAAGTCAAATACATCTTCAGAGTAATAGCAACAGGTTCTCTATTTTCCTAGCTATTGGTAATGTATAAATGATAACACATACAGTTTCCATTGCTCAAAAATATAATCTTTTAAGTGGAAATAAATGACTGATACACAGTGCCTTTAGATGTTATCCTTACAATACAAACTACCCAAAACAAAGTTTTCCTTTTTATGTACAAATTCAGCACCGATCCACAGTGCATACTATTCTAATTATAACCCCACCCTCCCTGCCACACATCAAAAAACTTAGACAGGGATACACCCTGTACCCAATCTTATAACCAGAAGGGGATTTTGTGTGTGGTTTCATTGATTTTAATTATTTTTTTAAACAAAAGTTCATTAGTTATTTTTACCTACAAGCATTCCACCACTGTGTGCACAGACCAAGATTTCTCTAGTACATGTGCCCAAAATTTAAAAAAAATTCAATTCAATAACTTCTTGGAGGCAAAGTCAAACTATATTTAGAGAACATTAGAAAATCCCAGTCACTTAAAAAGAGGTACACTTTCAAGTTCAACAGACCTGAAACAATGAACCTTTCCAAATTCCTCCAGCAGTTATCTTCTGGGATATCCCACGAAAAGACAGCCTCCCTGTAGCAGCATGAAGTCCCAACAGTTAGGCTTGAATGACCCACTACAGTACAACAACGCAAAGCACACAGCGCGCTTCGAGTCTTCCTCCTTGTTCAGACAAACACGGAGTGACATCTTAGTTACCTGCCTTCTGCAGTATTCAGACCAGCATTCTGATCAAACAAGGTGGAAGGAAACAAAAGGGAAAGTCACATTTATATACATCTCCTCAGTGTTTTACTCATCACAACTACTATTTGCAACTCTTGCGGGCTATTACAGTGACCCTCAAGAAGAACCTTTGTCTTCAAAGTGTTGAGTTTTTTTTGGAGAACAAGTTCTGAGCCATAAAAGCCTCGATAGCATCCTTAGTCCTTGTTTTTTTGACTTCCAATGTATGTTATTTAAAACACAGTACTCTTTTTATGCAGTCCAATATGTGCACAAGGAAGAGGCTGGCAAAACGCAGCCCTGTGCACTTCTGTGCAGAGACAAGTGTGTGCAGCAATCTTTTCTTCATAAGGATAAATCTGCAAGCTGTGTTTTAATGTATCAAACATTCGGAACAAGACTAAAAAGAAGGTAGCTTATAAAGCTTTTAGGATGTATTTTGTGGCTGTGTCTCCTTTTTTAATACTAAATAAATTGGTATCAGACAGCTTTGCTACAAGAAAGCATACCAAAGAACCATTAAAAAATCCAGAGAAAAATCAGAAGTAGTGCAAACTACACCTAGCACTAAATCCATTTCTGAGCAAGTACATTCCAGATATTCAGAATGCTCTGCAATAAAGTTATAACAAATATATACTGTTTGCTAGGCATTTATTTGCATATTTTATTAAAATAACTGATTATTACTTATACAACTCAGTACGAGAAAGAGACCTAACAGCTTAAAGTGGTGGAAACTGCCTGCTTGTAGCGTGCTCAGCTCTGTCGTTAACCCCCAGGCGTTTGTTACTACATATACTGGTCTGATTTGAACTCAAGGCTTTCCAAAGCTGAGTAAATCAATGGAATTCACTATTTCTTAAATAGACAGTCCCCTCAACACAATGACCCATTCTAAATGGCATCAATTCCCTCGTCACGTGGAGGGTAACTATAGGCACCGAAGAACTCATTGGCTTAAAATTATACAATTGTTCAACCCAAGAAAGGTGGATTAAAGCTTGAAGCCCTTTGTAATTCAAACTCGAACGTTAAATTGCTATGTACTGTGCCAAATTATTTTAAAAATCAGTACACGTTCAGAAATTCTGAGTTTTAAATTTCTGCAAGGTTATTTTTCCCAGGTAGTTAGTGGTTACAGATTCCAAGGGTTGTGAGGGGTAGTTTTTTATTTTTATTTTTTTTCACTTGGCAAAAATATTTCCATAGGGTTAAGAAATACTACTTTTGCACTCTTTGGACAGAATGAAGCATTTTGAAAAAGAGAAGGCTTATTCCCACTATGAGGAAAGTGCTGTATTTCAGAAGTTCTCTACAGGACAGTTTGACAAGATTCTCAGGCCTATCTGCATTTATAGTGAGAGTCAGGTATTTCTACAATTATAGACCCTCCAAAACTTAACAGACATGCTACTCTGGAGGTCTACATATTGTAACAATAGAAAACTATTCATTTTTTGAAAACTCAGTTTTAATATTATTAGTAGAAGTCATTTTACAGGAGAGCTTCTCATTGTATTCTGCCACAAAACTTCTGGAAGAAAGGTTGCTCCCAATTCCATTTACTTAATAATAACTACTTTTTTAAAAATGCTATCACTTTTTAATCAGACATTGAAAAATACAAGATAAGGCATTTTCATAGCCCATTTCAGTTTTGGAGGAAGATTGTTAAATACAAAAGATGTGCCAGAAGCCTGTACACATCTGACCCATCATGAATAGCATACTTTGTAAATTACTTGATTTTAAAGATTTTCCTCTCAAAAAGAGCCTGGATTTCTTAACATAGCATTTTTACCTTGAAATTACTACAGAAGAAAGATTACTGCAGCATTAAAGAAAAGATTATCTAAAAGTTTGCACATATTTACACATTTAAAAATAATTACTTTTATATAGTTTACAACTAGGTTCTCATTTCAGAAAAGCAGCACAAGCTATTCTCGACAGCTGGGTAATTTCAATATAGTTGCCAGTTCACAAGTGTCAGCACTATTGCAGGGTTTGCTTCTTTTGAACTAATGGACTTGGAAAAAAAATTTAGATCTCTTGCCTCTCTCGCAGTTAGCAACAAGATTTTCAGATTGCTCCCACCTGCTGCTGTTGGGGATACCTACAGTCACTGGCTCCCAAAACTACTCTTCCTCGAGCTATGAAGGATGTTACCTGCGGAGAAGATACTCGATGGAAGTGCAGCTACTGTCACCTGTTGGAGGCTGCACGTGCTGTTCTGTAACATACTTGTTTTCCCTGCTCCATCACAGACTTTCAGCCCATATCAGAGCCTGGCTCTTTCAACTCGCCATGTAACACTGACATACCAATGGAGCAATTTATTATTTTTACTATATATATATGCAATATGTATATATCTTGTTGATTCACAGCATTTCAAACTCACATTATAAAGTTTGCAAATTACTATAAGCTATTCTAATGTGAAAAAGCTGTCTGATTTCACACAATATTTGCCTTATGATAATGCAAGCATTGCTCTATCAGAGTATTTATTAGAGCACATAAAAATTTTATTGCTCAACTTCATTTGTGTTGTGTCTTGGTTACAACAGCCACAGAATTTATGGAGAAAATAAATAGCTTTGACATCCTCAGTTAACTTCTAAGGTAATCCGCTGATGAATAAGGTTGTGGAGCAATCACGTAACCCCTCTTCTCAGCTTTGAAGATGATAATCCAGCTTGCACCTTCTGAGTCAGTCTCAATAGAGTACAGTTTTCTGCTGAGCAGTTTAAAAAAAAATAAATCAGTGAACAAACATGACTTCACACTCAGTGACTGTTATAAACAAGAATCTCTAAAGCATTGCGATTCAAAATAATATTGTATTATACAGGGAAGAAACAGTTGCCCTGTTCAGGACTACATCATGAAAAGATTGAAATTCAGTCTTTTTTTTTTTACCAGTATTTGGTTGTTCTCACATCTTGCTGCTTTGGCGGCTCTACATAAACTGTATCTGTGAAGCAGAGATTACATATTAATGCCACTTAAATAACACACATTTTCTCAGTGTTTTAGAATTATAAATCTATTCAACTGCTTTGTTACTTGCAAGTTAAGATTGTAGGTTTTGGCACTTTAAAAAAAATCCCCAAAGAACATTAAGATCAACGCATTTGAATGGCAGAAAGACACAGTTTCTTCAGCTTGAATGATTCCCTGTCCATGTCTCTCTCACTTCCCCACCACCTGATCCTTCAGAAAGCTTTCACCACTGCTCTAGTCAGTATGACCAAACTAAGTATCCAGCTAACGTCATAGAAATTTAAGTTCTATGTATCTTCACTGCTCCCACTTTCTTAATATTGACACAGTAAGAAGTTAGCCACTAAGTCTGATTTTTACTTTCTTCCTCACTTCCTATATTTGCATGGTCTCACCATCTGAATTTGCTTCCTCGCCAGCAAAAGCTGTTGCCCTTGACTGAGGAACCCCTCACTTTGAAATGCAGGAATACATTAGTAGCCCTTTATGAAACATTTGGTTGCTTTTACCAAGACTGAAGTTTCAATGTGATCTCAAGATTAAAGAAAACAGTTCACCTGAGTTTCAGAAACAGGTGCAAAAGGATTTGTTGGCCTTAGACCAGGCTGTGTGTACATCATTGACTGGGGTGCCATCAAAGGAGCAGCTCCAATCTGAGGAGGTACCTGTTAGAAAAATGAAACCCCCACAAAACAGGTATATAAAATTCAAACTAATTTTACAAGGTATGTCTTTTCACATTGTAAGTGTAGTAGAAAATAAGCATATAGACACACACTTGCAGAAGTAAAAGCTTTTAAAAAACTTGCTGTATAAAATTTAGTCATCTCTTAACAGTGTGAAAAAGCAATCGGATTTCACACACTATTGACCTTATGAAACAATACATACAAGTTGCAGGATGATTTGAGCATAACAATGCCTGCCATGAAACCCACTGGAGCAAACAACTACGTTTTTTAGGAATACAGGACAATCATGTTTCTTACCATTCCATATACAGGCACTTGAGGTGTGGTCAATGGGTATGCAATAGGAGCAGGTACCTACAATCAAGAAAATTTTAATGTATTTTAGATAAGCTCATGCATACTAGTAATATATACAAAACTCTGAAAAAAATATTATTTTTCAATACTTAAAATAACCAATGTATTTACAAGAAGTTGACTTACATATCCAGGATAGTGTACTCCATTCTGGCACAGCAAAAGGAGTAAGGACAGAAAATTATTTAAGAGGTATTTGAACTGGAAATGCTAACCAAGGGATGGATTCAAGTCCAATACCATAACCGTCTGTAACTATGCTCAACAAATTTATTAAAACAATTAAAGTGGGAGGAAAAACAGTGCAAGGACAAAACATCAGTAATCATGCCTGTTGACTTGGATAGGCTCCCTGCCTAGAAAGCTATCACTAGTAAGACAAAGCGAAAACAGAAATTTTACTAAATCTAGTCATATTTGACACAAGTCTCCAACACTTGTGTGAGAAGCTTTTAGAGAGCATGGCATGCAATATTCCTTCTTCCTCCCATCACGTGTGGGAAGGGCATAGAAAAAAAAACCCAAGAAAGCCAGTGATCATTCAGCTTAAGAAACAAATAGCAATAGATGTTTAGTCAGGTAAATGTTGCTCACATACTAATTTCTGATGTCTGCAACATATCACAATACGAAAAAAGAAAAATGAAGAGCATTTTAAGCCAGTAGTAACTTTTATCAGGTTATGTTCACAGACAGTGATACATGCACCCCTCATATTGCCATGCACAGTTAAGTAGTGCTAATCATATTAAAAACGGAGTGCTAGTTAGAACGCTTCACTACGAAAGACTACACAGACTGTACAGGAATCGGAGGGTTAGTACTGGGAATGCCACAGACCAAGCCAGGGCAGTTAGACCTTTCTGATACTGAGGCACTGATTTTACACATGCTCATAGCTGAGCTAGTTCTTTGCATCATTAGCTGTTGGAATTCCAAGCAAATGAGTGAGCAGATACCTGGCATAAAGCACTCAAATGCTTAGACCAGAAAGTACTAAACACGTGAAATAAAACCACACAACCCAAATCCAGTGATCAACGTGTGCTCAGGTGCCCTCTATCTTTCAAAAATAAGAATGCATCAGCACTCTAACATATCCTAGGGCACCAAGAGGGGATAAGATTTAATGGTCTCAGAAGGCTCACACAGAAGTGCTATACAGCTGAGACATCCTCTCGTGAATTTTTGAGTTTCATTTTTGAGTGCAATACTGGATTTAATGTCCTATTCAACTTTGATACCTCTGAATGACTATACTCACATCAGATGAGGAAAATCAGCATTACAGGCAAAGCTATTCTTATTGGAAAATGAAGTCAGACAGCAGTCCAAAATTCACAGCAAATGTGGCAATTGCCCTAGTTGTACACATAATCAAGATGAACATTCTACTTCCCTCTGAGGCAGCTCTATTTCAGAAGTGGTTTGTATTTTTATGAATATATATGAATAGAAGACACTTGAAAAATGTTTTTAAAAGCATAGGAAAAGTCAGGTGCCTACGAATATCCCTCCAAGAAATAAAAATTCTTCATTTAAATAACTATAAAACTTCCATTTATACATTCCATACTGTGTTAAAAATACGAAGTCATCGTTGAGCACTATCAAAAGTCCAAAGTGCTGCTTGACCTGATAATTAAGGTGCCTTGCAGGTGTTGCAGCAGTGTTTCATGTGATAAAACTGAAAAAAAGAGTGAAAAGTGGAAGGAACAGCAGTTTTGCATTTAAAACACACTCTTAAGATTCTTAAAAGATGCGTGTGTGTGTGTGCGCACACATGCGTGGGAGCATCTCAAACATGCACATCAAATTTTCTGGTTTGGGGTCATGTGTTTCCATTCAAAAAGAACTTATGAACTGAGATATATCTCAAGCGAAAGGCTGATTAATTAAGTCTTTAATGGACAAGTTTTACAGTGAGGGCAAATACAGCACACAAAATCTCTACTTCGTTCAGTTTGAGGAGTGATCCTACAACCATTCTGTGCTGTCCTCAGTCTTGTCCCAAACAGCTTTTGCTAATATTTTCTCAGTTAATTCAAACAGCAAAGTAGCATTTGCTAGAATGACGTGTGATTTTAATAGTACAGAAATTACCATATGTGGAATAGTGGGTAAGGGAGTAGGGTTCCACGTGGTCGATGTGCTTGTTTTTGCTTGCCAGTTTGTTCCACCAGTAAGTTTTTTCTCTGTAGGCTGGGTCCACTGCATATCCGATCTAAAAATGAAACTGCGGTATTAAGTCTTCACAGAAAGTCAACAGCTAGAGCAACAACATCATAATGGAAAACCAAACATGCCTTAATACACATACACAGCTGAGATCTATGGGGGGAAAAACGCTCAGGATTTCAGTAACTACTTACTTACTCTGTTCCAGGAAGTATGAAGTTGGGGGGTTCTATTTTGTGTTAAAAGTAAACTATCATTACTGCAGTGCACAGCGTAACGATTGACTGGAGTTTTAAACTGCAATATCTTTTATGGAGCTTCATAAAAATACTTAAACAAAAATATAGCAAATGCAAAACTAACTAAAGTGAATCACTTCAAAAGTTAAGGTTGACTGTTACGGTGACGGACCACAAACTGACTGTTTCAGTGCTGTTCTTGGTATCAGATCACTTTCAAGAGTTGAGACTCTTGCAATGTTAGTGCTGGTAAACTGTGCCAGAGACTACCAGTCATGTGAGAATACTATAAGTAGATATATGCACTTACTTTTTGGATGGAGTTCCTCCAAAGCCAAGATCTGGCGGAAAAGAGAAACAGACAAAATCCTTAAGTGGTTTTGTTGTTTGTTTGGTTTTTTTTTGTGGGCTTGGGGGGAGCTTATTTTGTTTTCAGTAACAAATTGGAAAGTTAAGCTTCACACTTACTTCCCACTAGATTAGCAAGTGAAGAATCAAGGTCATTGGCCAAAATTTTTCCACTTTGCTGGTTGGCTAAAGTGGCTCTTTGACTTTGTGGTGGTACTGTGGGTTGTAATACATCATCTAGAAAGTTAAAAGCTACACAAAGAACATAAAAGCAATTGTTAACAAAACAGACCCATTGCATTTAATAAAAGACATGAGTAAGCCAGGGAGGTATTTTCTTAATAGAACACTAAGTAGTTTGAATATTTATACACGGAATATTTATACAGAGGGAACTCATTATCATGTATCAAGAGAAAACACTGAAATCATAAGCACTGAAAATAGATTAACATGAGCTTACCCGTTAAGAGATATCCAGTGGGCCACGTTCAAAGTTCATTCCCCCAAAAGGAAAGGAAACCATTATTACACTGTATACGAGATTAGTCAAAGCTAATTTTAAAGCAAATAACTACAATTAAACTGATTGCCTGTTATCTTATCAGCCTCGCAATCAGCTTGCAAATGTATTAAGTTATTAAATTTTCAACTGCTATAGCAATTATGCAAAACTGTTAAGCAACTGTTGCCTGTAGAGTGTAAATCAGTCATAAGCTAGTTTTTACCACTTGTAGTCTTGTACTCTGGTGCTGTAGATTTTCCTCCAAAAACAGCATCAAAGTCCACATTAATTGTTGAAGAGGTGGTACTTGGAGGACCTGAATGAAGAGGAAAACCTGAAAAAAGTTTACAGTAATTAAATACACCCATGGAGTAATACCACTCATTACAGTGAAACAAGAAAGTTTAAAAAAAGAATTCAAATTACCATCAACAGTCAGAGGATGATACATAGAAGCATATGTAGGTTTATGACCACTAAAGTCATCTTCATAAAAAGAGAGAAGAAAATAAGATCAGTTTAGAAGAGAAAAAGGAAGAAGGGACCCAAAGATTAAGTCTGCAGTTAAAAATTAAGAATTTTTAGTAATAAAAAAGGATTATTTTTTTTATTTAACAAATTTGAAAAGCTCAACTAAGTCCTGCATTCCCCATCACAAAACAGAAAGGAAGCTGCAGTTTGAAAGAAATCAGCAAAAATTCCAGCAACATTGCAAGTCTTACAATGTTTAGGCTCAGCAAGTTGAACAAAATGAGTTACTTCAACTGCAGAAACACAATTTTAAGAAAACATAATTTACTATATCTGGAATTAAGGCACCATTTTCACTTGTTAATAAGAAGTGAAGATTGGTCCAAACCACAAAAAGATTACATGGCCCAGTTTATTAGCATTATTATCTCCAGTTGCAAAGAAATTACATGGGTTTTGTTTGTTTTTACCACTAAAGAGTTCCACCGTTTGTTTGGAGGAAAAAGTAGAATTGATGAAAGGGGTGGTAGATTTTACAGCTTCTTCAACTGGCTTCATGTCAAAGATGTCCAGATGAGGTGGAGAACCAATACAACCATTTGAGGACGAGAAAGGACCTTTCAGATGCAGAAGTGAAGGAAAGAATACAGAGTACAAATAATGGAAAAGAAAAACAGACTGAAATGATTGAATATGAGAATCTCTATAGACAAAGTCAAACTGCAAATACTACACCTAGTGATCAGCCCATTAAAGGTAAAAATTCTTACTTTCAGATAAAAATCCTAACAGCTCTATTTAGGGAAAATAATTCTAGTATTGTCATTGAGTAGGAGGGGGAGAATGACAGAACATTTATCAATCAAAAAGTTAGATACTACATTTTCGGCTTCAAGAATCTACCTTTTAAATAGCACATAAGGGTATCAATTCCACCTATTAAAGTACCAACACTTACAATGGTGTTAACATTGCCTCATTTCAGCATTTAAGATATTTCTTTGGCATCTATCCTGATTATTCTTTGGAAGGTTGGTGAGGGTACAGAGAATGCTGTGCCTAAGAAACTGGGAATGACAGCTTTGTTATAAGAACTTCGAAGTCACCAACACCTTTTAAATAAAAAGTATATTAAACATCACTTAATGGAATGGAAATACTACTCCAGCATCTTTTCAGTTACATCTGCTTAGTTTATATTTCCCAGCATTTTTAAACTTTGATTTTTAGTTACATTTCTTCTACCTGTCCCCTTTATTGAATAGCTCCTTCATTCTATCTACCACACTTTGACACTATTACTACATGTTAAAAAATGTAACTTTTATATAAAAGTCTGCCAGAGCTTTCAGATTACTTAGTTTTTATCCTGTCAAGGACAGAAATGTTTGGGTGCAAAGTAATTAAGGTTTAAGATGTAGATTCAATTAAGTATGCATCTATTTTTTTCTTGTATTCTAAGACTTCACCCATCATTTAGACAGTCAAATCATCGTATCAGCTCACCTCCCCAGGCGCTGCTTGCTGATGTCGATATAGCTGGAGTACTCTGCACAGTTGGAACAAATGCAGGCTGAAGATCAAAAAGATCACTGGAAAGGTTGGGCATGCTGAGTAAGAAAAAAGAAAGAGACACACAGGAAGGTACGTGATAGGCACTGTATTCTTGTGTTATATGAGCATTCATACCAACCTCAATCTCACTCTCTCATTCAGTAGTACTCCATCAATAATAGTGGTATAAAACAAAACTAGTAATTAAGCACTTCTTATTGACTGATACCAAATATCCTGTGAATACACCAGGAAAGCATCAGCAAAAGGTTATTCTTGAAGAGAAAGCAACCAGGAGCAGTACTTTGCAGTTGATTGTGGAGCTGCAGGTCAATGCAGTAGTTTCTGCTTGCTTCATAAAGCAAAGAATCTCTCACCTATTTGTTGTGGGGGCTGGCACTGCAAAGAGGTCAACAGCTACAGTGGTATTCACACTTTTTCCTGATAAGGTGCTTGGGGATGCTGATGTGGAAGTGGAATTTGATACTACAGAAATCTCTCTTAACCGCTGCTCCTGAAAGATGAGATATACAGTTTGCATTTTAGTTTTATTCATTTATTAACCCTTCAGTCCTGAAGACCTTTTCCAATAAGAAATTTTAATTATCGTCTTAATAAATGAAACTTTGTCTTCTGTAAAGTCCTGAAAACAGAAATATGATTGAAATTAGAGATAAGAGTATTTGTTTTAACAAAGCCTTTAAAAAATCAAGGTGGGACTTAATGTTTTAAATCACTTTTTTTTTAAAAACTATCTATAACCGCCTAGAAGTAATCGCTTCTAGTCAAGCTACGCATTCTAGGCTCCCTTCATAGTCACTCAGAGAAAAGGGTTAATGGCCCTTTGTTCAGGAAGGTTCATATCTCTCTGCTGGTAGGATCTCTTCGTAGTTCAATTCAGATGTTCAGAAGTCCGACTGACAATGTGCATCCTAATAATATCCACGCAGTGTTGCCCTTAAACTAGATTTTTATTTCGCTAGTCTATGTTGTTAATTTTAGGTTTACATCCCTTGTTACTTCTAGATACACCCACTGCATTTCTACAGCACAGGTGTATGTTCTGCACTGCTTACATGCCTCAGTTAGAAGGCTGAGTGAGCTTGCAAGCTTCCCCAACCCCCAAATGAAAATTTGTATCAACTGATTTAATTACTGATGACAGCAGCTACAAGTCCTATCATAGTAAAAGTAAGACAGTGAAGAGGGGAGACATCTGATGCAACTCCTCAAAAACAAAAAAAGCCCCAAACAACAACATCACAACACTTGCTGAGATTAAGTGAAGCAGTTCAGCAGCAGGCAGCAAGGCATGCTAAGACTGAAGTCTAATAGCAAAAAACCTGCTTCACATAGATTTGAAAAATATGTCTTACACCAACTCAGGAAAGCAGAGAACCTTCAATAGACCTCTCTAACTCCAGAGAGGAAACTCAACTCTGCATTACCAAAGCTTACTTTCACACGTCAAATAGTTTTAAGGCTCTCATAACGTGGCCTCCAGATGACATGAGCAGGTGCTTCGTCATTTAGGTGTGTGTAGAGATGTTAAAGCAACACAAGAAAAATTCCCAACTGCCCCACTTGCATGTGGCCTGGGACACAACAGAACTACAGATTTAGCTTTCAGCAAAAGAAGCATCTTGCCTCGTACAAGATTTTATACTATGTATTTTCTCAAACAGTGTTATAAACAAGCTAAAAGAACCTGAAGGACCAGGATCCAGGCCATAAGAGAAGGATGTTACTAAGAGGACTACTCAACAAGTCCCAATGAGCCAAGGAAAGCGCATTAAGGAACCAAGAGAGAACACACTGATGATCTTTCAAATGTATTATTGTTCAAAGTCCATAAATTATATCTAAATATGTATTATTTCAAGCTTTTTTAAACTAAACTAAAGAAATATAAATAAGAGCAGTTAACAAGGTCAGAACTACAGTGGGTATTTTCATTATGAGCAACATGACTGAAGAATCGCACTAAAGCCACATTTCCATATATCATGAGGAAAAAATAATTCCCTCCTACCAATAATCAGTCTTACAAGAGCAATGCAGTATGTTCAGCTGCTGAGATGTAGTTAGAATCATATACTCATTTTGGAATCTTTGGGATAAATAATCTCTTGTAAGAAGGAATATAAATGACATATCAGCTGTCTGCTATTCAAATCATACTCCTGGTAGAAGGGTCACCACACCTGCATCTCTCAGAATCATGCCTTGGCTTCTCTTACAGTAAGAGTTCCCTCACCATACACTATTTTAAGCCAATCTTGGTTTACACCTGTTTCCAGTTAAAAAAAAAATCTTGGAATATGAACTTCTAAAAAAATACAGTACCTTAAGTGCCTGCAGTCTAGCTTGTTCCTCCTCTAATGCCTGCTGCTTTTCTTTCTCATCCATCCTGCTAAATGACATTCCTGTATTGGCAAGTGTGGAAACAGCACTGGATAGGGCACTAGCTCTAGAAAGAGTAATAATTAAAGGAAATTTTATTAAGAAAAACAGTCAGGTATACATCACTTACAGTTTAATCACCAAGTGCCTTATCTACCTGTGTGTCATACCCCCTCCACTCCAGTCTTTTCTTCCCTTACTCTCTGGTACGGAAAAGCAACATGAGTACACAAGATTTCTCCCTCCAGTTTCAGCTGATAGGAACTGGGAAGTGCAGAACATACTAGTTGTCTTTTTTTTGTCAAGGTCATGTAGACTAGATTGGAATCCAATTCCATTCAAGTGGCACAGGAAGCTTGTTTGTGCATATTATACATATAACAGTATACACTGCACAGAAGTTATTACCCATATAGTATACTTCTCAGCAGAATATTGTGGTCTTGAGTCCTCGGATACTTGCAAAAAAAATATCTGAGGAGCAAGACAGCAACTCAGGAATGGAGCTTAGATTGATACATTTATCAATATTTACCAAGTTTCTGTGGGAGAATGCCTATGCCAAAAGAGACCTCTCACTCTTCAGTTAGAAGTACTGTTCATACATATTGATACCGCACTTGACAGAAAAGAACAACACAATCCCTTTTAGTACAAAGCGTCTAAGCTAATTTGGCTGTCCTGAGAAGGGACTGAAGAACTTCTATAAGCAGGTTAAAATAAATTAATGGTCTAAGAGGAAAATAATTGACAACAAAGATAAATACTGTCCCATCTTGGGTAAAAAGAGTCTAAAACCTAAATACCTTAGAAGTCTTATAAGCCAAAGGACTTCAAATAAGTAAAAGCTAAAAAGAATAACACACAAGGTCCCAGCTCAGGGGTTTATTACAGCACAATAAGAAGTCTGTCAGAGACACAAGCAGACATACCTAGATTTCAAGTGTGACTAAGCTATCAGACTGCTACTCACTAGATGCTTCATTTAAACTTCTAGGAAGATATATTTGGAAGTGAATAAAATTCAAGGAGAACACCAAATGACTGAATCCTGAAAATTCTCATTATGAAGATGACAAATCCTAAGCATAGACATTCGTAATTCTGCTCACCTGCTGGCAGCGGAGACTTCTTTTGTTTTCTTTCCCTCCACAGAAGCCAAATGCTGTTCCAGTGCTTCAAGCAAGCTGCTGGGTGCCTAAAGTTAAAGTATTTATAAAACACTGCTTGTAGACAACACATCGTTGTTTAGTACACAGATTAGTTTCCTCATCCACTAAAAACAAATGAAAAACCTCACACGTTTATAATTGTGCCTTTGGGTTTTGCTGCCATCCTGCACACTTGGATTCTATCTACCCAGTTGTGGTTCTTTAAAAGGAGTGGCACCACAGAGGCAGGAAGTAAGGATTCCCCCAGAGCTGGTCTGCTTTTGTGTACACAAGTTGCATTCTTGGTTTTGGGAACAGTATTTGCTATGTTAAGATTAATCCAATAATTACAGCCGATTAAGCAATACTCCCTCAAACTCACAGAAGTACCAAAATGAAGCCTTTACATTTTTGATCTGCTTTCCCCAATAACAACAAAAAAATCCAATCACTTTTCATTCAAATATTTACAGTCAAAGGCTTGCATTAGAAACACCTGACTACAGCAAGATGTTAGGTTTGGCAAAAAGGCAATCAAATCCAACCTGATCCCAACAATACTACTGCAGACTGAGGAGCTATTCAACACATGACTACCCAAAAAAAACCCCAACTCAATTACTCCAAAACCTTTGGCAGACTAAAACATTAGAAAATAGTAACATCACTTCAAATAAAAGTTGTATTTTGGTGGGTTCCCCTCTCTCTTCCCCCTCAGAAAAGTGTTACCCATGAGAAGTTTTTAAATGTTAAGCTGTTTTTAAAGCAATGAAAATTATTCCAAAAAACAGGCTTCTCACCACTTAAATCCAGCATGAAGTCTGGCACTAGACATCTCATCTAAGACTTGAGACACCTAAATGAGTTTTAGGTGATCAATATTCATAAGCTTATCATGACTTTTGAGAACATGGCCACGACATTATTCAGTACCTAATACAAAAGATTTTAACCAATAGATGACAGAAAAAAGCAAGTTTTAAAATGCACAGACTAAGGCACACCAGAGCTGCTTTGGTTCCTACAGAAAACAAGGTGGTAAGTGTCAATCATAACCTGCCTTCTTTCTGCCATATACTTACATCCACGACAGAACTATTTCTCCATACCAAAGGAAACAGCCTCAAAGCTCAGAATAAATTTAAACTCATCTTGATTACACAGTCTTAGTAGGAATTAAGATTTCTCCAAATCACACTCTCAAAAAGGCCTCCATCAAGCAAAATCATTAGGCTGGCACTTTCGGAAGAGTTCACTGCCTTGCTATTCTAGCCATATTGCTCCCTTGGCTTTTAACTACACAGTCCATACTCCACAAAACAAGTGAAATAAATCCTACTGCAGGTTCAGATGAAGGGAACAGACCTTTAAAGCTTTAATCGACTTGCCAGCTCAGTCCTCCTCATCTGGCAGTGTTTCAGAGACATTAAGCATCTCTTACCACTTGCCAGCTTTCGTTAGGTAGAACAGATAGGATAGGCATTGTTTGGAACAAAAACAAGCTTGCCCTTGCTAGTCCTTCTGTACCAAAAGCTAGACCAAAGTATTTCCTGGAAAGAGTAAAAATATTAATCACACAAGGCCTTGGCAAGCCGCCCTCTGAGATACTGAGCACAATTCTAGCTTCCTGTATTCAATGAAGGCCAATTCAAGCTACAAGAGATGCAAAGACAAGTAATTAGAATAATCCTATAAAAATGCTTGTCTTAAAATTAAGGCCTGAGTTGGTATTTCTTCCTATAAATAGAGCTAGGTAAGCTACGAGTGTAGTTACTTCAACCACGGGTCATGAATAAATTCAGCGTCCAAACTAGACAGCTAAACCCTAAGGGGGAACATTTTTAAATACCCTTCTGGAAAGGTATCAGAGAGAAAAAAAACACAAACCAGAAAACCCCATACTTACACCTTCCAGGAGGAACAATAGTTTGCAAAAGACATCATATGACACAGCTAGATAGATAATCTTCATAGCAGAACACTATACTCTAATACCAGAAAGCTCTTCCTAGTCTTCCTTTTTTATTTTTTTTCAAGGCCATTCTAAAACTTACCTGTATGGAAAGGTATATTCTATAATTATTGCTGCTAAAACCTCTAAACAAAACCCTCAACCCTCAAACGTAAAACCTAAAAACAACAAGCCAGTAACTTCTCTGAACTGTCTCATTGCTGCAGACATCCAACAAAACACCAGAGACGAAATTCTGAGTAAACAGATCTTAGGAGCTTCATGTCAGAAAAGCTGCCTGGGCTGATACAGACATTATGACTTGAAAAAGGCAGTATTTGACGACTCAGCCTCCCTCCCCCTACTCGAAGACATCTGACAGACTAACATCCATACAGAGGAAAACAACCCAGATGCATCCATGAAATACAGTAACAGCTATAAACAGAAAGTAAGGAACACGATTGTTAAACAGGGCACCTACAAAAGAAAATATTGTCTTTACAGGAACTGGTAAAAGTGGCAGTAGTGTGAAGATTAGAATCAAGGAAGAAAAATGGCTATATAGCAGCAGCAATAATAAACCTCTAAGGAGAAAACACCATTGTTGTCAGAACAGCTTAAGGAAACTGAAATATCCATATCCCAGAACACAATATACACTGGAAGTGTAAACAAAGTATTCAGAAAAAAAATAAATATGATAGACCAGAATAGAAACAAGACATGATCCTGTCAGAACTTATTTCAGAAACATAAAAATTAATTTTTTTATTAAACACTGAATTATTTTTATTTTAAACACTGAAAATTAAATTTGTGAAAGTCTAGTATTAAGAAATTTTAGTGAATTCTTTTCATGTGACACTAAATAGGCGTACAATTATTCAACCCTTATTAAATGCCATGAAATTTACTATGGAAGTGGAATGCTTAACAGTGATGCCAAAATACCCAGGACACTGATGTCCACCACCACAGCTCAGAGAGTTGCCTTTCACGTCTAAGTGCACTTACAACAAAATAGCTGAGCTATTAGAAAAAAATGTTGTGAGAACAGTAGATACAAAGGGTTTTGCTCACTGAAAGTTTCAGATATAAAAAGCAGCAAAATGAAGTTAAACGCCCTATTTTGAGTAAATAAAAATCCCCCACTTTGAAGAGCCTTATAATGATTCAAATTAACTGGACAAGTGCACACAAACCTAGTGAAGTATAACTTCAGGCTTGAGTGTAATTTATTAGCATAATACAGACCAGGTGAATACTGCAGCACTAATCAAAGAGATGGAGGAAGATGCTAAGATCAAACACCAACAGAAAACATCAAACTGCTGATCTCACTCATTACCTGCTCTTACCCTGCCAGTTAGTCATATTTCTTCCCTACCACAAAGGCCTAGAAGTTCTTAAAGGAGTTAATATTAATCCCTAGGAGCAAGTATTGGAGATTTGTACTTTGAAACATGTGTGATTTCAGATGGAAATGACACTGTAGGCAGTAACAAACAACACTAACAATGGAAGGTTGTGGTTTAGACTTGACTTCCACATTAAAAAGACACTAATGAAGTTTAGGCAAATCTTCACAGTCGATATATTTTTACACGATTAACCCATGAAGTTTAATTTTGTGAAGCTGGTGCAGGATTAGATGCGACTGTTCAATGTTTACACGTTAGATTTCAACTGTTTCACACTGACTCCACTTAAACAGCTTGAGTACCCTGGACCTCTGTTTTAAACACTCCAGTTTAATGCCTGACTCTCCTGACAGATTGCCATTTATTCTACCCATCAGGTTATTCTGGGCTACCAGAAGAGTACCAAATACCTCTGTCCTCTTGGGTGGGTCCTGGGTGAGCAACACCACGTTCCTGTCCATGAACTGAAGGAGCTTGCAAAGAATAACTCTGGGCACTTCCGTGGACTAGCAGCGTTTCCTCTTCACCAGGTCAAACCATCTTTCTCACTCCCTTTCTGCCCCTCAATTTATCCTCACTAGAAGGTGGTTCCCCTGCAGTCCACCTTTCAGCCTAAATTCTCCAGCGCACAACGTGTATTGTTTATGTCCCTCATATACTCACGAGTAATACCGGAGCCAGTGTTAAGTGCTAATACAGAAACATCAAACCTAATCAGACCTCAAGGGAAAGAAAATATTCTTGACCAAACTAGCTAACTGTAATCTTCAAGCGTGTTGGATGACATTAAGTCACAGAGAAATTGCAGGTTTTCCTCAAGGCATGGCAAGATGCTTGTGGCTTACATGCCAGGGAATCCTCTGTGATAAAAAACAGAAGTTCTTGAAAAGTATTTTCTGCAAGTTTTTCTGCTTTAAACAAAAAAAAAATCTTACTAAGAGCTCCAAAGTGTGAGTACTGAGTACCCTTAATCCATGGGAAAAGTCACCATACGTATTTCTCATATATAAATACATAGAAAAGAATATATTCGAGATGAATGATTACTATGATACACACCAATCTCTAAAAACACAAAGATTAAAATAATTAGGTTAATCAATAAGATATGTACACTGACCTGAGTAAGATCTGGAATATCACCCTGATCAATTCCAACTTGCTGGGTTTACAAAAAAGAGAAGGAAAAAAAAAGTACATTACTACATGCAGTGGCAACAAAAATAAAAAACAGTGATGCCTGAACTTTACATAGAAACTAACATATTAAAAAGGAATATTCATAACTTCCTGAACTGGTACGGGTTTCACTAGGAACACACCTTAAAACTCACAAGTACATTAAATTGCATCTCAAAGCAAGCCCAGCCTAACTTTTTCATGCAGAACAGCTTCCTGGGAGCATTAGAAACACCCACATTGCTTACAGGAACTACTTCTCCATTTTTAGCAGTTACAGTAAAGGAGAACACTGTAAATAGCCTGCAACATTCCATTCATACATGTTGGGCTATTCATGAAATTTCTAACACCACTTCAGAAAGTTTACTGTGCTGTCTGGCTAATAAAAAGGATACCAAAGAATCTCACTTCCTGTTAATGAGTATATACAATATTCAGAATACCTCATCTGTAGAATATTTCATTGTATAGCGAAGTTAAGCAAACATTCACCTGTTCATGAAGTTGTTATGAGGAACACAGACAACTGCACCAGTACAGACAGCTAAATGATACTCTTTCCATAGATGTAGATTTATTTACCTCTGCTACTTTGAGGAATTCTGACAATTTGGTCATTCTGGCTAGAAATTTTTTGTAAATATCCAAGCCTTCTTTGCACTGGTTCTTCTTCATATCAAAATACCTTTCTGAGGATGCAAATAAAACTCTTTTGAAATAACAGCCTCCCCAGTAAAAAGCTGACACAGTTATTATAAAAGTTAATTTGAGACAAGCTTCAGGGAGAGAACAAACAGAAGAAACTCAAAGCTATTCAGATTTTAAAGCTTCCATGAATACCTGACACCTTTTTTAATGTCAGTCAACAGAAAAACACTGATTTTTCTATTTCAGTACATTAGAATATAATGCAAAGCTTTATCAAGCATGGATGTGAATTGCTGCAATTGTTAAATCAGGTATTTAGGGGAATATTTTCAAGAAGTCAGCTTATTAGCTGGCAATGAGGCAAATTATTTTATTCTTTGAAAACATTCCTGGTATATATTTACATTTTTAGACCCTGTATTAATACATTTTGATGTTTGTAAATGGATTCAATATCCAAAAGACATCAGAATGGCTACAGAAGTGGTACATATACTGAACTGACCTACCAAAAGGAGTACCAACTGCATCTTTCACTTTTTATGGTTTTGCCCTATATACTTACAGATATTTCATTGAGTAAAAACTAGTGGATTAACAGAACAAACTGATCAGATGTTTTAATTCAGCAATTTGCTTGAATAGTCATTATAAGGCTTTGCTAAGAGCTTATCACTCTTGAGCAAAAACCCTATGTGTCATCAGGCTCAGGCAGATTCAGGTACCAGGTAAAGATGAATAGCCAAGCTCTAAAGCACGGGAAACCAGAAGTCACTCATACTGTGACTATACTAAACACTCAAAACACCTTGTATCTCACTAATACTTTTACAGTCTAATTGCAAAGGTTATCCACTGCACATGTATGGTATCTTTATTTTAGACTCACCAGTCACCCTCTCATCTCAATTTCTGTTTCAAGACGTATTCTTCTAGGTAAAGGGGTATGTTTAAGCCTATGCTAGCTGCCACTGAAACTAAGACAGGCTTAATTTAATGGTAATTGAGCAGAGACAATTTATTAGGAAATCGCAGTTAGAAATGATCTGTATTCTTCAGTTCTTTCATGAAAGTTCAAAAGCTAAAAAAATTCTCACGTACCTAAAAGATTAATAATCCCCTCATTGTATGCTGCAAAAAGTCTAATGGAATCTTTAAAGAGGAGCATAAAGGCAGCATTTATAACACCATTTGTTAGTTCATTTGGATTTGCCTGTGTAGAAAGCAATGAGAAAGTAAATTAGTATTTAATAAAATAATGAGACTCTCACTTCAAAATGCGAGAGTGTTACCTAACATCAAGATTAAAGTACTTACATCAAAATCAAGGAGTGCATCAAGCTGGTTTTGTATGATTGGAAGGGTTTTCAGAAGCTTTTCAGCATTCATGGTTCTCATCACTCCATCTATCCTACAGATTAGAAAACACATGTTTCCAAGTTACCAACAGACCTCAGCATATTATGCTGTTTCAACAACACTATGCTGCTTCAAAGGGCCAAAAGGAACACCAGTCTATGATAAGCTCAGGAACAACTGGAATTTCCACCACCCTCACCCCCCAAATATGAAAGGCTCAACAAAAAAAACAGTAACAGTCTTACCCTCTTTTCATTTTGGTGAAGTCAACTGCTACAAGTCTATATGAAAGTGCTTTTTCATTCAAGTATCTGCTATATCGCCTAATGAAGGTAGACATATCATAGCCTAAGAGTTAAGCATTTACAAGTTAGACATTTTGAAGGGGTACAATTTCTTTTAAGTTCTTTTCAAGAACTGTTCTCCTACTAGCCCAATTTACATCAACTGCATAAAAAACCCCTAAGCACTTTCCAGAGTCTTGAGATTCATTATTTTTCACCTTGAGATGTAATGTTACAGTTTCTTCTTCCCAACTTGCTAAGATTAGGAAAACATTCACTGCAATTATGAGACTAAACACCTCAACACATTAAAATATTGGGCAAGAACCAAGCAGCTCTTCAGATGTTCTTAAAATTAGACAAAAAATGTATTCCTACTAAAATGCTAAAGACTTTAATAACTTTCTACAATGCCTCAAAAGCCACATTAAAAACCCAAAATGTTTTCTGCCATTGGCAAATAATTAAAATAGCACATCCTAGTTACCATTCCATGCACCTTAACAATAAATTTTTATTCCTGAGACACTAAAAATGCAACGGCAAAAATACATCATTGTGCTAATATTCATCAGGTTTATTCTAGTCAGCATTAAGAGTTCACTTTTTAAAATTTACAGCTGTGTATGCATGTGGTACATATATCACAGACAAATTTCTAACACTCAGCTAGGTAACCCAGTATCTCACTTTCCTTCTGTCCACGTGCTTGGTTGTTTGGTGCCTCATGCAATATAAATCATAATACTCTTTCATTAATTGTCATTTATCTCCCAGAGTGCACCGACACAGGCAGTATCACAGAGCAAAAAAAGCAGCAATTTCCCTCAGTGAAAGATGCTTACCCTGCATGGCACTTTTGTCCAGGTAGTTATTTAAATTGAACAAAGTGTTTCGGGATGCAAGATACTGGATAAAGCGCTGTTGGTGAAGAAAAAGTTGAGAATATCATTGTGGTGAGAGTCAAAACACTTCAGCATCTTACAAGAAAGCCACACTTACCTTGTAACTGTTTCTAGTAACCTCTGTCAACAACAGACATTAGGGGAAAAACTTAAAGGAAAACTTGAAACTACTGATTAGCAAAGCCTCTGAAATCTAAGACTCTATTTGGCAAAAATATAAATTTAAACTAAATAAAAAGACATCAATGCCCGTGAATGAGACTAATAATTCTAGAGGAAGCTGCTTAGGTTAACTCTGTAGTTTAGAACAGACAAGCTGGAAAACACAAACCAAAAATACCACTTGCATTAACCAAGCTCCCAAGGTTTGCATAGCTCTACTACTGCTGCAGAAGTGAGAGACGGGCTTAGTTACAAAGTTTAGAAGTAATTAGTAAAAACAATGCTTCTGGAACCGTGGTGAGCAGCAGCACTGGGGTTACAAATACATATATTATTTTGTATATATTATAATGCAGTGATCTGATTAAACAACATTTATGTTTTGACAAATAATTGCTGGCTCCATAAGTAAAACAAAAGCAAGAGAAACACATCCAGATAGCAAAGTAGTTGTAAAAGTTTGCCTGTCGTTGTTCCATGCAGATCTCCTGTGACCGTGATACAAATTCTCAACTTTCTTGCTTCTTTGTATGTTTTAGTCCATAAAAGATGATCAGTACAACTTAAGGGACTTGCTACACCTTGGCTCTAAATCCCTCTGCTGTGGCAGCACCCAGGGCCTGATCCTTCCCCCTTCCTGGTGGAAATCCACGTGTCCCCCATGTCTGGACTATCGTGCTCCACAAAACTAGCATCTTTTCCATCAGGCCCAGTATAGCACCAGCTCTTCAGGGACTGCAATGAGGGCTCAGCACAGAAACAAGAAAATTCTTCTCACAAGTCCTATCTGAACTGAAAGCAGTACTTTCACCTTCCAGCAGGCCCAGCTGATGCCCAACTCGTCACATACCACCTCATCAGTAACTCCATACGTGTCCTCAGCCTAGAGCTACGGAGCTCACACACGTCTACAAAACACAGCCTGCCTACCAACAGTTCTGGCACTGTTTTAACTGCTTATTCTGTTTTCATTCAGTTTATCTGGCCTTTGTACACCTTAGTACTGCTTTCAAAGAGATACAGAAGAAAACCAGTTGGAACATGATCAGGAACAGAACTATGGTATTCAAAAGGTGTCTATACACATTTCAAGATCAGCTACTGTTCTGAATCTCATCTTAAAAAGGTCACAGCTAACACTCATTCTCCAGAGGTCTTGCATTGCACAACGCACAGGTGAGAGGAGTTTTAACCTGCTTCATCCAAGACTTCATCACAAGAAACAGGCAGCCACGTTGAACAAGAAACTGCAAGACAGTGATTGCTTAGACAACATTTTGACCTTCTGCTACGCTTACTTGTACGTAAAACAGAAGTCCAACATCTGATAAATTGTTATCTGTTTAAGAAAAAGGCCTCTCAACGTATTAGAAGAGCAAGGAGCACACTCATGTTCCACCTGAAATTACAGAACTAGTGTTCCAGCCACCTTATCTCAACAACTATAAAGGAACTCTTTTTCAAGTTTCAAATGCACGCCTTCAAAGCTGACAGCAGTTTTGGTGCAGACATAAAAGTTCAACTCTTCAGCCACTACAAAACATTGTATGGGCAAAGATACTAACTGGCAGCTCACAATTGTTAAGTTCTGATTTTTTTTTTCTATGGTTCAGTTGTCTGCTTTTTTTTTTCTTTGAAGTCTCAGTGTGTAGATATGAACTGCATTGAGGAGAGAATAAAACACACAAACTCATTTCCAGCATTCGGTTTAGCTTTATACTCGGAACAAGTGGTGAATTCCAAGCAGTGAATTTTACTTTGTATTAGTCTCTAATTTCAGCCTCTCATCTGTTAAAATTACAACTTAAGCACATCAATAACTTTGGGAAGTGTTAACAAAGAGCGTATTGTTTTACAGGTCATTATAATTAAGTTCAGAGCTTTGGAGAGAGGAGGCAATGCTAAGTACTCAGAGCAGTTTAATGGCTGGAAGCAGGATCTCTAAGAATCACCATTTCAATATCACCAGTAGTCAACAGCCATTTATTAAGATGACTACACACAAGTTTAGGACTACACTGACCTGACCAAGGCAAAGTTTAGTTGTTAACGGAAGGACTGTGTAAGAGAGGTTACATTTCTAATGCCATGTTATTGTCCAGGAAGCTTTTCATAAATAGTGATGAAATAATTTAAGTGAACTAAACGCAACACAAGCCTGTTCCGGAGGAATGTTAATGGCAACAACATAGGAAGATTTAGCCCATTCTTTGATGATTTGCAAGATCAAATATTCTCTATTCACTATATTCCTCCTTCCTTTAGGAAGTATTTTTTTTCTGTTAATAGGTTGGCTGCTCATTTATGGAGTGCTAACAAGACTCTTTTGCTGTGCTCTTACTGATAAGCACTGGCCTACTGAAGTGAAGCTCATCAGAAGTTCTTCAAGTCTTTGTTGTAGAAAGGTCACTCATTATTCCTCACAGCCCAACTCAGACACCTGCAGGTAAACTACAAACACTGATATATTTTGGTATTGAAATAAGGAAGGAATATTTTCTTCTGTGGAGAAATACTTCACAGCCATCAGCAGAGGAAAAACAAAGACCTTTGAAAAATTCAAGTACATATCCAATGCTTTGTAGATTGAGACAATCTTTTAAAACACAGTCAAGGAGGCTTTAACAGAAATAATCATGCCTTACCTCGTTTCCATACATCATGAGGTGGTGTGTTGTAATTAGAGCTTTGAACACTACAACCCAGCTACTGTTTGCCGTTCTCTCAAAGAGCATGTCTGCCAACTGCGGAATATTCACATTCATTTCATTTGTGCACTGTATTAGATCTAAATTAAAGGGAAAAAAAAATCAAAGCATTACCATGAGTTATATGCTCAAAGAGGATCATCATGTTATTTTGTGTTTTTACATTGAGAATTCATACTGGAAGCATTAACTTCAGTTCTTTGTTTAAGAAATAACTGAGCTATTTTACATTCCTTGCTCAAATTCACTGCATTTTACTGAATGACTCCAAGTATGAACTTCAAAGGCATTTCAGTCATTTTGTGGAGTCCCAACACCTCATCAATAAATAGCCTGCTCCAGTAGAAACTATGTCCACATTATTGTCTGAAAGCCAGCACAAACCTTCTGGATTTTCAATGCCTGAAGTCACTCAATCTAGCCAAAAGAAATGAAAACTCAGAAGCAGAGAAAAGCTGAGACATCTATACTTCATGAGATCAACAGGGAGCAAGTACCCTGCAACTCCGACCTAAGCCTGAGTACTGGCACATTACAGCAAACGAGATGCTACAAGTCTGTAATAAGCCTCTTTTCTATAACAATTAAGAGCAAGAATTTGCATCTACACACCTTTCCACTTAGCTAAAATAACCTAATCACCAATCTACTGAGTATTTTGAGGTGGATCGCAGCAGGTCTCAGGCTTTTGCATAAAAAACGACTCTCTGTGTCTGACTGATTATAAACTCCGCAGTAGCACATTAACTTGGGAGGTCAGAGACAGAGACCTCCAAGCCTCTGCCTGAGTACTGGTACAAAACCAGAACAGACTCCAGCAGATACATGGGAAAAAATCCTGCCTGAGAACGCTAGTGAAGGCACTTGCTCAGAAGAGAGCAAAGAACCAAATCCAGGACGATTTTAAACCCCTCAAGACATGCACATTAGACATTTATTCTCTCTCTGAGCTAAATTTGGCTCAGGTATGATCAAAGTACACCTTAAGGACTGGGCAAGGCCGGTAAAACAAACATCTAGCTTGCAAAGCTTCCTTTGTGGCCTCTCATTTAAGCCAAGCCTGCGAGCAGCACTGCTGATTCTGCGGTTTGCCTACGTAAGCGCTTGAAGAAGGGACGTGCTTCCAAGTCAGGCAACAACTGAACCACTGAAACGGCCAATTCGTCTCATTAGCAGTACGTAGAGGACAGATATCATCATCAGCAATTTAAACATTGATTTAGATATCACATATTGACAGTTTAGGACAAAATATTTGATAGAATTATTACACAGAGTATATTACAGATGTATCTTAATAAAACACCTGTTTATTAAGAACAAAGTCCTTTGATTAAGGATCACTGTTTGGAATAATTTAATAACCAGAGTAATTTTAACAGAGTAAAGAGTTTTACATAGTATCTTGTTGAGGCAAAAAGCTATAAAATGCAAATTCTAACAAGCTACTAATTTAATTCCGATGTTAAAGGTTTCCAAATACGCACAAAACATACAGGCTAAGATGAAAACTTTCATCCTTATTAGTAACACACAAAAACGCTGAAATAACTGCACAAAAAGAAGCACCCTGAAAAGAAGTTTTAAGCAAAGCATGCATCAAAACCTTATTGTTTAGTATTAAAATATTTCAATATTTACAAACGTGAAGATTCTCAAAAAACGAGTCATGTGATAGATGCTACTCACCACTCATTGCTGTATCATTATCAGATGCTGCGTCAAATTAACAAGTACTTTAAAATTCCTAGAAGTCCAAAGGGTTCATAGACAATTATCACCCCATATAATGAAGCAAGTCCCTATCCCAGAGTTTATACATAGAGAAAACTTGAATTTTAATTCAACAGCCTCATCTACTGAATAAGAACTTTGTTATAACATTTCTAAGTAATTCTCTCAAAACACATGAAGGCAAATAAGTCTTCCAATCAGTTTACAAGCAAGCATTATAAAGACACTGCTGTTAGATCTTGCTCGGTATTTTTCATGTAACTGAAGTGCCTGTAACCAGCACAGAAATGTTACAGAACAGTTACAAACAATGATTCCTATTCTCAGCTTATAAAAACCAACATAAAAAAACAACCAACAAAACCCCTACAAACTCTATAAATAGCAATACCTATAACATTACTACTAGGTAACAGCTAAAGAAATTCCATTGATCTGCTGAGGTCAAAGACCACACGGATAGCCTATTGAAAACATTATTTCTGCACAAAGTCCTTTTCCTTCACACGACCACTAAGCAAGTCAAATTTTTCACTGAACATTTTCAATATTAAGAGCGTTTATTAAACAACAGATGAAACTGAGAGGGAAGATCCAGCTTAAAAACAAAAAACTTCCTGCTCTCAAGTCAAACGAGCCAAGCTGATTTCATTCATATTTTGCCATCACTCTCCACAGAGATTTCAATTTGTCACCTTCTCTCAAGCCAAGGTCTACCAGTAGGTGTTCCAGTGGGCTCTAAGATGATGCCAAACACCTGGGAGATCCCTTATATGTACTTATGTCTAAGACTGAAATCAAATATGATCTTATGGTGCTGCTCAGACACAACCTGACAGAAATCCTACTCATAGCAACTGTATCAAACGCTGTAACAGATCACCTCTCCTTAAGCCATGCATCCATAAAAAAAGCTTTGGCTTATGCCATCATAAAGGTTTGCTAGCACAAAAAGCCACCCAGATGTCCTTCAGAAGGGAGCAACTGCCTTCTGCTTTGGTGCACAAGGCTAAAAGAAGTCTTCTGCCAAGTGACAGCAACAGAGTGGAAGTTGATAGACCTCTAGTGTGTTTGAGAAGTTCATGGTTTATTCCACAAGTGTGGTTCCACGTGATTGAAAAGTCCAGTTCCAGTAAGCCTGTAAAAGAGCTAGTAAGGTTTTCCAGCATGTGCTACTTGCTTCTGTAGGATGTGAGCCTGACCGGTTTACAAGGCAACCAAAAGGAAATATTTAATATATAGAGCTACTCAGAGTCTAACTCAAGCTGTGCTTGAGGTTGAAGACCCGAGTGAGTTGCAAGTCCCACGCACTTTACATCACACACTGGCTCCCCTGAAGACCATTTTTGTTGAGGACACTCAGCACAATTGTGGTCTTTGGTTTCGAAATCTTCTTGAATGCACAAACACGTAAGCCCCAGTTGCCCATCCTGAAGAAACACATGCTTAAGCAAACAAAACGTCTCTAAAATACTAAAGTAGGAGCGAACACTGGAAAAAATCTCAGTGCATTTTATAGGCCAAAACTAGACTTTCCTAAGAGTGTATTGCAAAAACATAAGTTTAAAAAAGACTCTTTTATAAGGCTACTCAGGGCAATATTTTAATTATTATTTTACAACTAGTAATGATAAAGCTAGTGTCACATTTGAATTCTAGTAATTGAGATAAATAAAAAAAGCCAGTGTCATTTCTCCAATATGGTTATTTTAAGTCTGCAACAGTAATATCTACACAGAAACAACTGTATGGATGTGTTACAGCTGGCAGCAAAGGAGGAAAAGGATATTAACACCACACATCTGGAAGTATAAAGGAACACATGCACCTGAGAGACTGACAGCTGGGCAACTGCAATATGGACACTAGCAGCAAAAACTGGAATGAAATGTCTAGGGCAAGTGATGCTCATTTTCTTATCACACTACTTACATAAACACTTTACAACTCAAAGCATTTTGCCAATTACCCAGAAGAATAATTTCAACTGCAAGTGAAATCGTGGTGCTATTTCTGGAATGGAACTTAGAAGCATGTTAAACATCACACAGGGAGGGGAAAAAAAAAAAAAGGGGAGAAAAAAAAAAATCAAACCACTTTAAACCAGAAGAGTACTATTGGGGTTTTCAAGCAGCCTGCAAGAGCTGTGGAAATCTTACTGCCTAGAAGAATACTGAGGATTTCTCTTCCACAGCTCGCCCAAAATACTGGCACATCATCTACGAAACCATACAGCTCTTCTGAGAACAGCATGTATAAATCCATATATTAAAAAAAATACCTTTTTTTTTTAATTCTCAGCCAGCCACTGACAAAAACTGACAGACTTTTCAAGTTTCAAGTAACAAGAAAGTCATCAGGAATATCTCTCTCAAGGGAACTGTAAATACATAAGTTAAAGAACCATGATGGTTTAATATTCTCATATTTCTTCCATATTGTCACTGAAACTGCTGTAAGATAGATGTGAGAATTAAGACCACTTTCCTTAAACCCAGCAGTCTTGAAAAAAAAATTTTTTTTTTTTGAAAATTGCATTGGAAACTATAGATTACAAACCCACAAAACAGAAGAGCCACTTCAGCAAACTTTCTCAATGTCGCCTAAGGAATGCAATGATTCTTGCCGGAAGGCTTAATTAAAAGATAGCCCCTGATTGATAGAAATATTTTTACCCCCCTGTGCTCTTATAATGCAGATTTGGTAGCAGTCTGTAAGTTTAATAATATAATACCTAAATCTGAACGTAAGAGTCACTTTACCAGAAGCAAAGGAATTCAGTATTCTGTCCCACTCCCCCACTAAACTAGGATACATGATGGCCCATACAGGTTTTTTTAAAATAGCCAATGTTGTTAAGTTAAATTTCCTCTGTTACTGTACTGAAAAGCTTCACAGATCACTAGAGAGCTTCAAACTAAAGACAGCCACCTTAGTGTCTGTGGAAGAGCTCAAGAGCATTTCTTCGTGCTGTACCACAACTTACACTCTCTGCAAGAACCACACACCATCGGCATTCACCCGCCAGTCACGAGCTCTAGCTGCAAAGCAAGAAGGGGCAGACACAAAAACAACTCAAAGCTGTGACAGTCATAACGAAATATTATTGGCAAAAAAATGAAAGTTCATGATGATTTGGTGGAGATTTGAACTTTCTCCTAAAGCAAAAGGCTTCGGAGCCCCATTCTGTTACCTAATACAGTTTTACAGCGCCTGAACTGTCACTTCTCACAAGATTTCCAAAGTTGGTATATATACAAGAGTTTTAAGCTTTGATGAGCAACATCAGCTACTTTCCCCTCTCCTGTGCTTCTTAAGCAGGTTATATACAACAACAGTT